ATCGAGAAGGATATCTTGAGTGCAATTGCGATTTGAGTTCGCTATCATCATTTATTCTGCCTTCGATGTACGATAGTGACGATTAATGAATTTAACCATTCGATTTCGATATGATATGCAGGAATTGACGAACTCAGTAAGGCGTTATTTCTATATATAGTGTTCGATTAGCGAGCTGGGCTCGTTCTCATTTGTGATAACGTTGTTTCTCTTCATTGGAAACTTCTCCCTATTCCACGCATCCCCGATCTACTCAAAGAAAAAACAAACAAGCTAACAAGTCATTTGGATATGTGTATTTACTGTTCCGAGAAAATCACAGATCTGCAAAATGTTGATTTTGATAAAAAGCAATTTTCGGGATCAGTTTGAGGTTAATCACGTGTTTTTTGCTTCGATAGAACACAATCCTATTCGTGATTATACATATTAAATTTTCATGAATCAATTGCCACTAGAATAAGTTATGGTCTGTTATGTGAATAACGACATCTCTTCTGTATTCTCAGAGGAGAAATGATTGTAACTTAGCTGCAAAAATCCAATGTCGAACAGCGAATTATGAAAAATACACTACTATGTGAAAATTTAAAGTGTATTGTCGGTTTTCGTATTCTCTCGGTGTTATTAAATTATCTCAGCTTAATATTTCAGGTTTGACCTAACTCATGAACTAAGCTACACAGAACATAGAGTATTAATATTTAATTCACCACGTTAATGTTATTGATATTGACTAGTATCGTTTAGACGCGAGATGCTTCATTAGTTATTTTATAAATGACATTTTCGTCTAAGGCAATTAGTTTCAGCAAAACAAAACCGTTTTTTGCTAGCCGCTTAGGTCGTTCAATCCGTTATGATATCAGGTGAAATGATATGAAATGTTTAAAAAACTTTGTTACATTTATGTGCTTATGTGTTTAGAGAATTTGTGCGACAATTATGTCTAATTTGTTTAGATATGTTTACATGTCATCACTGGCGTGTAATACACATTATAAATAAAAAAACACAATGAAAATAAAATAATGAAGAAGGTTTTTCAAATGCACATTTCGGCAATAGGCATCGTTCTTATTTTCATGAACTTATTGAAACTATCAAATTTTATATGCGCTACTACTAACATTTAACGACATGTTTTATGACCACAAAGAGTGAAGTATGTGCTCATCAATATGTCCTCGAAGTTAATATTGTTTTTATTTAATCAGATACCTAATTAATAAACATGATGTATACCACTACACACAATGCTGATACTAGTTATTCGCCATGCAATCCACTAGTAAAAAAATATAACTCTTTGGTGATTCTGGTTTCTATAATTTGATGAATGTGTGTTATTCAAGGGGAGATCATTAATATATACACAGTGATTTGTCATTGTTTACAAATGTACGGTCATTCCATCTGAATTCCAAATAAATAGTTTATATAATTATAATTTATTCAATACCCCTTTTAAAACATGCAATTGAAGCCTAATCACACAGAGCATCTTATAATATGCGGAACTGTGTATTTGGGTAACTATTTGTTATCACTGAGGGCGGGCATGTTGTCAGAACATACACATACACATGTCCACTGTAATGTAATAAATGACTAAACACATTTACATAAGAGACTGGAGGAACCTATTACATCTTTTTTGAATAACCCAAAGGCCTTGGCTCGGTTGATTGTTCCATAATTACTTTGGTTATTTAATTGCAATGTATAGCAATATAAAATAGATTCTCCGCGATATAGAATCCCGTGGGGTGTAGGGGTGTTGCCTCAGATTGTTGTCAGTATATTGAATCAAATTCCTTATCACATATTTGGCTGTGTGTATTGTAGAAGATGGTGGTTAATGTGGGTTCCAATGGATGCAAATGATACAATAAATGTCCGTTCAGTCGTTTATTATTTTGCAATAAAAATCAGTCGCTGATCTACAACGTTTGATATGTGAGATTTTCTACATGAGATTTCAATAATATAAACACGCATGATTGTTTTGGGATGTGATTGTGTTTTTGATGAGGATCTTTCAAAAATTATTGTTTATGTGCTGGTGATTTAATGCGATTATTCATTGTATAATTGAATATTGGATTGTCTTGTACTGCAATAATATTGTATAAAATTGAATTGTATTGTAATTTAAAATCTCAAACAGAACATTATGAATTAATTATTTTGAAAGACAAAAATAGACATGTCTAAGAATACACTGTTCATGTTATTTTGTGTATTCCCCCTAAAAAGGAACATGGAATTTATAGGGCTACACTTGGAAAAAAGATTATGTACATAATTCCAGTCGGTATTAATGGTGAACCTCGTTATATTCGCCAGTTATATGATTAGCTGTGAATGTCATTAGACCAATTATGCTAATAATACTCCCGGTAATAACCAACTGTTAACACTGTTAATAATAATAATTTGATAACCCGTGATTACGCTAACGCGGGTCTTGGTGAATCTAGGGTTTAAAGGCTACCGAATGAAACGTCGACGTCTGTCTTTCTAACCAAAGTTTTATGAAGTACATATGTGCTATGTATCGGACTGTGAAACGTTTAGTCCATATACCCGTGACTTGAAAGTTACAATTATAGCAGTTATGACGACAGCGCACTAAAACATATCTCTCACATAATGCATCCGTGGAGTGTTGAGCATGCGTATACTAAATAATAAACGACTTCGACCAGTTGCGCGATGATGCACAACAATGAATTAGAATGAAAACCGAAAATGCTATGTTATCAACTATTATATTATTATTAATTATTACATTATCTACAAAGTCATAAATATCATGGAAGCAAGTCTTCAGAACAGTTTATTTAGGGGGGGATTACCCTCATACACACGGTCGCTAAATATGATATATACTATGGTGTATGGTGTAGAACTAGAAAGCGCAATTCGTACAGGGAAACAAATTTCGCCTGTGAATTCAAACGGAATTACGATTACACACATTTCGACAAAAAACGACCTTAGACGTCACGTGAAAGACAACGCAGCGCCATAAAACGACGTATATGTCAGCGGGTACGATTTCCGTTCCGTGTATGTTTCATCTCCTTGAACCTACTAAGAGCGGAGTCAGAATCCCGTTCCCTTTTTCTTCGTTAGGAAACTAGTTTATTACACACCACTTTAAAAAAAATAACTCGATTTCTTTCACTCTTGTATCTGATTGATTTTCATTCCAGTGTAGTAGTTCGGACATGCCTATTTAATTCGTTCACGTGCGTTAAAAATATCAAGATTTTATTCATAGCTGTCTATTTAACCACGTAGAGCGAATGAAAGAAACATTAGCAGTGGGTACTGCTGCGTGAAGCGTAATGACATTTTCTGTGTTAGACCGAACGCCGTATTAAGTAGTGTCTTCAGAAAAAAACTCACTGGTCCGTAATAGGCAGATAAAAATTAATTCGATCAATGTCAACCCAGAAACGTGTATCTTTGACAGAATTAGATATTGAAGTTGCAAGTTATCGCTATATACGTGAGCAACTCGTTTAACTCGATTTTCCCGTCATCATTGTGATGCGGGATTTTTTTTCTCATTTCTATACATATTTCCATATTGTTTTGGTTATTTTGGATCAAATGGACCTGATTGGCTACAGGTCGTGATCATCATTTTCGAAAAAAGAAATCTCGAAACAATTATGTAACTTTGATTTATGAACGGTGATACAATTTGACATCGGTGTTTAAAGGGTTAATTGGACAGAGTGTTTCAAATAATGGTCACGTACTTGTGTTATTGATTTTAACGAATGTGTAGGTGGTTCTACAGAATGATTCTTTACATTATGTCACATGTCATTTACACTCAATATGTTGATCGTACTCTAATGTGCTAATTATATCGCAATGGAGGGATTCGTTTTAGTTTCGTGTGTTATGACATCAAGTTCGAGTCGCCGAATTTACGGACACTAAAAGGACAATGGCACATTTTACAACTTGAATCTGGTAAACGTTTCTTCCGTCAGCATGATTTTATATCGATTACAGTAGTCAGAAATTCTGTAGATATATTCCAACATATCGGTTTTTGTGTTTTGACTTAAAAAACAAAAACAAAAAACTGCCGTATGAATGGCTTTGAGCGGGATTGTTATATTTCTCAACAGTCTAGGGAGTCAAATTCATAGCTAAGACTCATTATGCTAGGGTTATATCTCAATGAAGATGCTATGCTTTTACAAGTGGTACCACATAGCCAAGAAGCCGTGCAAACATTTAGATATAGATTTCAGCCCGATACGAACAGATGAAGACAGTATGGGTTTAATTATTTAAGCTATGCCGTGAGTATTGTGTTTAAATATATACATATACATACATTGACTAAATCTGTGATTGTTACACTCGTGTGACGTCATAGAACAAAGTTTACCCTAGTGTGTGTCTAATTAGCGGTAATCAATGTATCTTTCGCATAAAACATAATGAATCGATGAGCTACATGTCTGGATACAACGTAAGTGTAATTGAAGAAGTTCAATAGCGATAATTAATAATCATTCATAAAATATGTGAACATGTCAGAGAGTAAAGTAACAAATGACGTTAGCGTTAATACATTTAATGTGAATGTGACAAATGTAATAATCGAGTTAGGACATTCAAGACAATTTATTTGATTGAACTAATACGATCCTAAAAAGGCCATATATGTCTTAAAATGTGCCCCTAAGATGCTATAAAAAGTGATGGTTCTATTTATGTTTAAATTGGCCCTTGAAGACGTTTCGGGCCATCAGATTGCTCGACGCTGTCTCCAAGGTATCAGTGGTTGTTACACAGTGTGTATCTGCTTTGCTTCACTAATCAGGTCCCAGTGGTGTACCAACTCCTGCTGGATAAAAGAATTAGCCGTGTTTTCTGAGACGTCTATTGATAAGTTTGCATTTCACCCTTATGAGTCGGACCGAATTGGCTGAGTGATAACAGCAGACCGTGCCTAACATAACATGGATAAGGTACGCTATTACAGTTACTTTTTCAAGACGATGTTTTTCGGTTGGAACGGGTGCAACGGGTGCAACGGGTGCAACGGGTGCAACGGTGACGCAGACCTCTACGAAAACAGAGAAGACATAGAGCTGTGTCCCAAGGAGTCAAACGGTGACGTGTTCGGCAAAGAATCGAAAGGATCTCTACCGGGAAGTTTGGATAAATTGAATGAATACGAAAAAGGTAAGCCCAGATACTAATGTAAGATTCGTATTCGGAAACGTGGGAAGTTCCATTATATTTAAAACAAATATATCACAATCTAAATCAGTCAATGCATCTATTATCCCGATTTCTATCAATAATGGCAGATCATATCAGTATTTTCTCGTTACGTGGGAGGGATCATACGCATCATGACCGTGCACATTGAATATTTATGTTACTCTCAATTATCATCAACAGTGACCTTGATGCTCGAACTAGAAAGTCTTGTATATAGATGTCACGATAACACAAATACGTTGTTGAAAACAAAATCGGTTTAGTGTCAAAGCAATACGTATACTCGTCTTCTCGACGTATGCTTTTAAGGGCACTGACTCATAATCTGAAACGATAAAATAAACAGTATATGCTCCGTGGTCTGCCAGAAGATGTAGTATCGTCTATATTTTTCTAGTTGTTTCAAACCTGTTGGTAGCGGGGGATATCAACAGTCACTTACTTCTGACTGGCACTACGAAAACTATAAAATTAATCATGTCCAATCAAAAAATACACGATTGCAAACTTTTCATTAACACTCTGAAGTGAGTATTAGCTTCTGAGATAGAATTGTTTTGTGTGTTTCTCAGTAAATGATCCCACCCAGTGCAATTCAAACAATACGAGTTTTTAACCTTTACGATGAATAAAACATTCATTTTATGAGCCTAAATGACAGCTATTAAATAACAAGTTAATAGAAACGAAATGTGACACGACGCCGGGTGTACCGTATACTATTGTGTACCTTGTCTTCCAAAACGTAAACAGTCTCAGATGATGGTAATGAACATATGTTTCCATTAACGGACATATATCCACGTATCTGACGTCGCTTTTGCCGCATATCATTGATTTGTTCTCATTAGCACTTCAGTCATCGACCCGTGAGACTTTCTTTTCCAGTGTTTTTTTCCTCAAATAAATTGGTCAACGATTTCGATCTCTGTGGGTATTTCGTTGTTCGTGCTTTTGACCAAATTGTTTCAATTTCCATAGAATAATTCTTGACATTGTTTGTTTCAATGATTATAGGAAAACGCGATAAGATAGAAGAGTGTCACATAATAACCTGGGAAAGGCGTGCATAGCATATGTTTCAGAGAATCAATAATAGCCATGTTCATGACACGCATACGTCTATAACGGAGTATTTCGTGTGTTGTATATAATAAAAAAACGGCAAATGAAGCATGAATTGTAAAAGTACGAGTAGCATTTCCACAATCGCAAATTCAGAAAACTAAGATTTTCCGGCCTACTCGTGGAGAGTCAAATTTCCCCCACCAAGATCGGAACAACTTATTGGATTAAAGATAGGGCGGTACGTCACGCTTAATGAGATTATTGCCAAGGCAATATTGTCGGCATGCATAATTTACCCATGATTACCCTGTGGTTGGTACTTCCGGTTCTAGAGAGTATACCTTACTATAAGCTACAATTATAATTTAATAATACATATGGACTACATTATTATAGAAAGTATTTCTTTCCGCATTGTTGAACGTAATACATTCGTACGTGTCACACGATGCACAAGTGCTTAGCACGCGGTGAAACGAGGTATGCTGTCCAAATGTGTTCCAACGTCAAGTCCATCTCCGCGAAGCATATGCAGAATCATTGTCGGTAATTTGAAGTATATCTGTTGTTTGTGGGTATCTTCAATGTCAAGAGTCATGGAAAGAATTAAAATGAAAAGTCTTACAAAGCCTCTTATGGAGAACAAAAGCGTCACCTCATCATTTCTTCGCACGACGGATGAAAGACGATACTTTGATTAAATGTCACTGAAAACTAATGACACGAGGCATCGTAGTACTACTTTTGAATCAAGTGGATCACGTTCAATATACATGAGCATCACACAGACACACGTCAAAATATGTGCACCTGAAACGTCATTGTGAACACTAGTAACGGGTATTCTTTCTATCTACACATCTTGTTTCCTGGGAAAACAGAAACAAAAATCTTTTGCTTCAACTTTTTTAAGACAGAGGCAATACCAGTGGTCAATAGTCGGGATTCAATAAATTTCACCAAGTAATAATAGCGCTACGATCACTTTAAGAAGTGCGGTAGTAGGAAGCGTGGGTCAATGTCGATATGTTTTTTTCGAATTTTCTCAGAAATTCATTTAAAAGTTGCAATCATAATTACCACATTGCACGCGGAGAATAAATCGAATAATGCAACGACAAACCACTTCAATGCTTTATATAACACATCATATTAATATAATTCAACAGATCGATGAGTAGAAAAAATATCACATTTTGTATTAATTGAATTTGAAAATTAAAATATATACCCCGACCGCTTCTCCCCAGCATACAAATGTAGCATTCAATACATTGATTCCCAGTTCACCAATTGTTATATATACTATGTTTTAGAATGATCGAACTCCCTTTTCGAAAATAATACATTTGTCGACCTCGAATCTATTCATCTCGTAGCTGCTCTCTAACGTATGACTGTTTGGGATGCCAGCTGCTATCTACGATGCATTTACTAGAACAGGATTCTAATACAAGGACTCAAGACAAGACGGATTAAAAATATTAATTCAATAAGAAAAACATTTCATATCCGATTAAATGCACTTTAAAAAAAAGAAATGTAAGGAGAAAAAATGTAATCGTATCAGTCAGAAACAATAAGACGCCAATATGACGTCATCGAGAGAGCGGGTCTCTTAAAGCTTTCGTATACACAAAATAAATATCTCTCAGCTCTGCGCATGCTTTGCAGTAGCCACTGTGTATTATATACGAGAAGGCGTCTAGCGCGATCTGTGTATTCACACGCCACAGGCTACACCCACACATTGGTAACATGTGACAACTTATAAGCGGTTTTTTCATAACTATGTCCTTCATATATAAGTGCATTTACCATGTTTCCTCTTTTTAGGGTCTGCTGGCTGGTTGATAGCTATCATAATATTCACGATCATTTTTTACATATGTATGTGTCTTATCCTGTATCACACCCACAACATCGTTCATATAACATTTTCTAATCGGCGCTGGGGCGTTCTAAAGAGCGGTTAGTTATTAGAACGTTGGCTACCTGACGTCTATCTTCCTTTAATTATATATAAGCGCTGTGAAAATAACTAAGCCGGGAGGCAAAAACCGCGGCCGCGGTCATGTGAAACGTACTACACTTCACGATATAAGAACACCGACTACATGTAAAGAGTTAAGCTTGATTTATGTTCAGATTTAAGCTACTGGCTTATATTAAGACTTGAAGCGGAATCGGTCATGGGTGAAATAGATGTATTTGCGTGATGTGAAAACGCAAGATTTATAATATTGCATCTGGTAGCTTGCAGCTTTAGTAAGAGATGAAATATCCACCAACGCACGCGTACACTGCGAAGTCAATAATAACACTCAAACACGTACGATCCATTGCAAATTACAAGGGGGTGCTTATCGGTCATGGTGAGCGTACGGAAATGGGATACAAATAAACTATATATTTTAATCTAAAACTGAATAAAAACAGTATTCTTGATCTTTCGATATAGATAACATAGTTTTAGATCGACGACTTGTACAATAAGTTAATTTTGATTTCAGAAGACTTTGAGTTCATCCTTCTCACGTATGGGAGTATGTTATAACTGATATCATTTTCTGAATTGCATCATTTCATTTCGGTTTATAATCATTTGATATCATAGCACTGTGCAACTGAATAGGTCATAAATATATAACGTACCTCAAGACGTGCAGAAAACATTTTCAATCGACAAAATATTCTCCAAACCTTGCTGAAATTTTTATGGATGTCAGGGCGCGCCATGTCAATCTGAATTCCAGGCATCTTTTGCCTTAACACGTGTTTCGATAGGTCACACACAGTAATGCGTGCCATATTTATAAGCTCCGTAAGATATAACCATTAACGCGAATAAAACTATGTATATTACCCACCAGGGGTGCAGCACTAATATTATTTATATATTTACATCTGATTATGCAAATGTGATAACACAGATTCATTTTGTCTTGCCAAAAATGGCACAATCAGTAACAGCCAAGCGATGTCTTAGATAAAGATCAGCGGTGTTCTTTAACGCTATTTTCACTAGAACTGTAATTATTACGACGTAATCGCTTGGGTGTTGATAATATAATACTTATACCGTGTGTAGCATACCATGTGATTAAAATAATTCACCTGTTTACTTTATTTCGGCTAAATATATATATATTAGTTTAACGAACTATTATGTATGTACAACGTAAAACGGTATATCCGTCTACGCGTGTTTTAGCCAACAAAATCGTCCAATCGTTCTGTATATGAAATATACACTACCTGAACAAATGTAAATGACATCGGCGCCATGCATGTAATTCCATTAGCGTTATCACAACTACGTTGATACTATAAGCTGACTTGGTATATACTAAGAAAAAAAACAATTGCATTAAAAATAATAATATCAATATAACTTGAGCTGCAGGTCACTAACTGGTTTTAGCAGGAAATTACTGCCACGTGACACTGGCGTGGAATACGATTAAAATGAGAGCTATTTGTCGACTTACCAAAATATGTATAGCACCAGAGATTCAATATAATTATCGACTTTTTGAAAAACTATTTTTTTTTCAAATTAACCGATTCAGAAGATTTTTATGATACTTGCTTTTATAATCCGCACACAATCGGTGTTTATTTCAAGTTAATTCACGTTTAAATTCTGTGGATGTAGCTGAATCTATCTTTCGGTGGCGATGGCCCCAGGACATGAACACATTAAATGTATGAATGATATTTCATCGTTACGTGAAGAGTATTCAGATAAGGGATTCTGAAGAAAAAAAGTCGCATTGAAATTGTTTTCATGTACATTAAACCCTTATAGTACACTTGTGTCGTTTGTTGACTCTAGGAGAATGTTGTTTTGTTTTCCTTGTTTTAAAAGTATTGAAATAAACCCTAGATTCTCCAGGAGGGTCTATGAATAAACTCAACAATGCAGTTTTCCCAGCGCTTTGCATAATTTGCAAGGTTATATTCATATGATGAGAAGTGTAATTTGTTTTTTTAAAGCGATGACGCAATGTCAATATTAATCACTGTATGTTAGACATAATACTTTATACCAGATTAATAAATTTCTGTATGTCAGGTGAATGCAGGTAAAGGAGTATGCAAATTAGACGTTCGCTCCACTTTTTTCAGTTGATCAGGTGAACAGCTCATAGAATGTATGTAATGTGAAAATATGACACAGCCTTAACATGTAAAATGGAACTTTAAAACCAAATCAAATTGAAACTTTCTGACGAGCTGAAGAACGCTGAATATCTTTGAGACTCGTGTGTTTTTTTTCTGACAAGACTCGTAGTCTGTCTGTATGTCTGCATATGAAAACTAAAATACATTTGTTTTTGCTCAAAGTGGCCAAATTGTGCATATAAACTACAGTACGTACATTATAGTGAGGTACATTCAAATTCAATCTCAGTAAGACTGTGGATTAATGGTTCATTTGTAATCACGCACGCTTTGCGTTGTTTTTTTGTAAAATAAAATGCACAAAATCGCCAGCAATCACTTCATAGTATTGTGAATTGTCATATCGTCTGAGAAGTACCGTCCCGCGTTCAATGAAAGTAAGATTTAAACCTGTTTTATTTATTCATACCGGAATTCTCAAGTAAACTGCCGGAACCCTATAGGGAATCATTTCCGTAACGGATATAGCAAATGATGTGGAACGATACGACTGAAACTCGGTTAGGTTTGTGTATATTATGATGAGTGATTTCAGTTGAAGTCTTTTTAGTAAATTTTAATTAGTGTCGTGTTCGTGTGCATTTCAGAAAGAGGAAGGTTTAACATAGCAATTTATTAATAGAAAAGCGCAGCTTAAAATTTAAAACGCTGAGGCAAAAAATCGCTAAGGCCTCTTCATCTCTGTCTTTATTTTTCGATCTTCAAACACCTTCCCGGTATGCTGATTGAACAAGGAAGCGGCATTCATTTTGATTAGATATGAACACTAAGCTCCTCGGCTCCATCGTACAACACGCCCAGCTGTGTTTGCTCTGCTTCCACCGGAAGCACACGAAAAAACGAAATGATTACTAAAAAAGTCATACGAAGCAGTATACGCTCTGTCACCCTATGATATCTTTATTAAATCCATAAAATAAATTTCAAGCCAAAATTAATTCTCAAAACTTCGATCAAGTCTTTATTTGTCACTTGAAATGATATTTTATTTGTTGTACGTAACAACATAGACCCTTTTGTTGAGGATATATGGTAACATGTGCGTCCATGTACTGCTCGATTACTCGTGTCGAATCCCCGGCTATAATTGTACATGACTAATTTGCATAATTATCCAAAGCTATATATATAACACCAGAAACACCTTTAACCTTTACCTGACGAAACCATCACGAAAGTGAACATTTTGCGAAGTGCGACACATATGTGAACTGCACCGCTTGTGAACACTCATTGTTATCAACAAATCAAACAAGTTAGTCTGTGGAACGTTGAATTGAGTGTGAATTATGTATATATTTAATTTCCACTGTGAGATTTACGAAAACCAGAGCTTGGCCTTTTTTTCGCATATTAAATAAAATTCTGGGAAAATTTAGAAACGTGTTTGGCGTACGTGCAGTTCAGTGTCGTGTAGTGTCGTGTAGTGTCGTGTAGTGTAGTGTAGTGTAGTGTAGTGTAGTGTAGTGTAGTGTAGTGTAGTGTAGTGTAGTGCAGTGCATCGATATAACTCAACGCACACACAACAAAAGAGAGCACTATGAGTAAAAACATAAAAAAATACCCATTGTTTTCTCGATGCCTTTTTTCATTGATGCATAATAGTAGTACAAACTAATAATCCATTAGAAGGGGACTTTTCACCAGAAAGGTCATAAAAAGAAGGTAATGGCGTGATGACATTAGAGTTTCACCGCTAGGATAATGAGTGAATTAGGAAAGTAATTTAACAGTAATAATGTATAATTATACATAACATATGTATTATACTCCATTACACGTCATTAATGCGAATTTCAATATGCATCGGAAGGTTGCAATATCCTGCAAAATGTCAATTTTAATACCAATAAACATGATATGCATATAAAGTATCTGTTTTTGCCTAGATACGTGGCCTTTATTGCCTGGCTACCATCCCACTCAGCTGGGGACAAACGTTATTGTTTCCGTCCATTTATATTTAATAGCGCCAAATTAAAGGCTCACTTGCGCTGATACGCAGATATGTATACAGATAAGATACATCCTATTACGTGAATTTGAATAGATACACACATTTACATGTCGTGGATGTAAACTTGAAATCTCAAATGAAAATGATTCACATTGAAGCACACATCATCCAACCGCAGAACAAAGTACACTTATAAGTGCATAGATTGACTGCCCACTTTCAGACTTTTTATGTTCCGAGAATCTGCACTCAAGTACACTTGACTGACGCTTTAAACGTTCTCTTATTTTTTGTATCTTACAGTCGGCTCGTCGTCAGCATGGCAAGCAGGTTGGAATGTCGGCAACTGTATGCAAGGACTTGGCATACTCAGTCTGCCGTACACCGTCAAACAAAGCGGCATCGCGTCCATTCTTACCATCGCGGGTGTATTGCTGCTAGGGAACTACACAAGCAAGGTATATTTGAACATAATCGCTAGTGATTACAACCGGAGTTGTGAATTTTACCTTCGCCTACGGGTCTTGATATATAGTTGCGAATCAGTGATCCTTGCCTACACGATTTTGGCGCCAATCATTCGTGTCTACTGACGTCATACTAAGAGAAAAATAATACACGTACAGTAAAACCATTTATTTTCACTGGCATTCAATTTCACTATTTTGATATTTAGAGAATTTTCACTGGGTTTTAAGTTCAAGAACTTGCCAGGGAAACAATGAGTTATATCGTATGATCAGTAAAAAAAGCGAAATTAAAAACCAGTAAACAATTAACGCGTAGTATAGGTCCGCTTTGATGTTTGAATGAATCGAGTGCGATTAAAAATCAAATCAAATTTATTTTAATATAAAATGGCCATTACCAAGTTCTAAGCGATATGGTATTCTAATATACATGATAAAAGTAATATTGTTGTCAGATTTAAATAGATCAAATAAATTGGGTATTCATACTTCTAGCCTCAGGTATCTGAAAGTGAAACATTTACTATAATCACAATCGATACTAAATCAATCTGTTTCGAGATATATGTAATGTATTATGACAATTTAGCCTATTTATATGGCGTTATTTGAGTCTGGTCGTAATAGAGATCAATCGTTATTTCTATAATCCGGTAGAAGCTTTACATTATCCAGGTTTTAGGATATCTACAATCGAAGTACAATTCAACACCTGAACACTCCTTGATGACTTGACAGCGTTTTTAAGTTAGTTCTGAGTCTAATGAGAAATCCAAGCAAGGCATTTCAGTATCCTGAAACCTGGAAATTGTAATATATTCTATCTGCAAACTTGCCGCCGAGACGTCATTGGGATCAGGATACTGGTTTCTACCCTCTGTGTACCATTCTCGGTCATCACTGCGCATGCGTCCACTATCCAAATACTACGGTTACATAGATCAGCAGAACATCGGACGTGATGAAATAGAATGAAACACTATTTGGCGGGGTGTTGTGGGGCGGAGGGGCTCTCAACGAGATCTCAGCGTTTATTTAAAAAAAAGTATAGGATTTGCATAATTTCATTTGAGTAGATTGGAACGCTAATGACGCATATTACCGGATCTGAATATTACTCCAAGTTGCGAGGAACTTTCCAAATCATATCTACGTTGTGATTATTTATCTTAAGACTACAGTCATGTCAATTGAACACATGTAAGATTAGATTTTATCGCTGTTTATTGATTGAAAAAATGGGTTTTGAACAATGTCACATAAAGTAAAAAAAAATATGTGGCTCTCAGGGAAAACAATAAGAATTGTCGTTATGTCCATACAACGAACGGTGCAGTTATTGGTGGTGGCAACACATATTTATTTACTTATGAGGGGTCGCTCACGGCGTGCCCCTTTGCATAATTTATTTGGGTGATACATTTCATTCAAACAGTCGATGTTGTTCACGCTGAAGTAGTAAAAGAAGCGACAAACAACACTACAAACTTATTAAATATGTATTTGTTGATGACGTGTTTATCTTGAGATATGCGAGAGAAATGTTTAACAAAAATAATGAATTGTTTTTGAAACTCATTTCAATGTGTAAAAGATTCAGTCACAATGCTTACCATGTAATTATTGGTTATAGGTTCAAAAACATTTCTAACTAAACATTTCTGGCCAGAAAAGCATGCTTTTGTTAAATACAGTAAATGTGGCCAATAGTTATTTATAAATTGCGCGATCGAAAAGTTAGCTGTATAGATTTTACTTCCTAAACTGTGTATATATCAGAGTTATCTTCACAGCACAGTATATTGTACTAGGAATACAGTTTTAGATATAGCGTCACTGACAAAAAAGTATTTTGGTGTACTGTGTACGTCCATACAACAATTAATTTGTTTATCCTTTTTTGTAACCATTTTCTAAAGTAGGAGCTCAAGACCGCCCACAATCACCAGTTGAGTACAATCGAGAAAATCATTTCATATTCTTCGGTGTCTTTATTTTAAAACCATGAACATTTTCTTGTATTTTTTCACTGTTGGGAAGATGTACATTTTGTTTTTTCAGAACGGCCGCTAAAGTACAAAAACACACGAATAATCTATTATAGCCAAAAAAAAAAACACGCTGTCTAACATACTCACTATCATTTTACTTATAGTGTTTTATACAGCAATGCACAGCGACTGGCACGTAATGTGACCTATAATTAAATCTCCGCTCATATAAAAGAAGCAATGAACTGCTTCCTAAATCTAATTTTCGTAAAAATTACCGCCAACATTTGATTCATTTTTACTGCAAATGAGTCGTTTACCACTGCTCTAATCATATGTACTTTTCGGTGAGCTGTTTTTACTGCCCTGGCAATAAATGCTTTTCATGATTCCGTTCGGTTGCCAACGTAATCAAAAGTAATCAATGCCAAAGGACCAATGCTTACTGTGATACGAAGGGTAGGCTAATTCACTTACATCCACATTTCGTTCGTTTTATTTCATTATCAGATCTTGGTCGATTGCCTTTATGAAGAAGAAGATATAGGAGGTGTTGGAGGCGGAACAAGGAAAGTACGCGTGCGCAATTCATATCCTGATATTGCAGTTGCATGCTGGAACAAACTGGGCAGCCATCTTGTAAACGTCATCACGATTGTCGACGTAACGGCAGTTGCCACCCTGTATCTTGAACTGTCGGGGGCGCTTTTAGTAGATACGTTTCCGGTAGCAGGTCTGTCCAAAATATCCTGGATATGTCTGTCGGCCTTCGTCGTCCTACCGTCAGTATTCTTCAAGAACCTGACCCGTATATCCTACCTGAGCCTGATAGCCGTGTTAGCCATTGGTGGCATGTTGTTTAGTGTGGTGTGGTATAGTTTTGGTGAAAGCATCAAGTGGAAGTTGAACACTGTGCCTCCGTTTGATACGGAGAACTTTGCCATTAGTTTTTCTGTTATTCTCTTCAACTTCGGCACGCAGTTCATCATGCCGGGGGTCGAGGAAAGCATGAGGGAACGTCAGAAGTTTGGACGTATGGTTAACTTCACTTACCTGGCTGTTGCTCTTGTAAACATGGGCTATGCCTTTTTTGCATATTTGACCTTCACCGACAATACGCAAGAGTTTATTACTTATAATCTGCCACTAGGTTTCATTCAAACCACAGTCAGTATATTGTTCATCGTGAAATCGCTTTTATCATACCCGCTGATGTTTTTTCTCATTGTAACATCGATTGAAAGTATGAATTTTAGTTTTCTGCCCCCGTGTTACCCCAATAATACGGACGAAAAACTACATATATGGTCAATGATATTTCGATTTGTTCTTCTTCTGTTTACTTTGCTCTTAGCTGTCAGCATTCCCCACTTCACCCTCCTCATGGGGGTAACAGGTAGTCTTACTAGTCCTTGGCTGGATTTTATATTTCCTTGCATTTTCCATATGCAATTGAAAAAAGGTCGCCTGAGGTTTTACCATATATTTGCAGATATCGCGATCATACTTATAGGTTTAGTTGGAGGAGGCATTGGTTTAGTATACAGTTGTAAAGTGCTTGTACGTATATACACTCAAGATCAATAGGTAAACATTGCACACAAGACCCTGTATGTACATCTCGCATCCTCAGTAAAATACTATTGATAGTAGAGGCACCTGGCCCACGCTGGGGCGAAGGTCACCAGTCATGTAAAACGAATACAGGCCACAACTTGATCAATTGTACTACTAGTATTCTTACTTCAGCATGCGAGTTGTACAAGTATTTCATGTACAGTTGTGTTCTTGTGTTGATACCCATACATATCACAACACTCATAAATACGATTTTATGTTATATTACTATTTTTCAACAACTAGCTTGTTATATTGTTCAGATCAGATGAAATAAATGCGTGTGGCAGTGAGCCAGCTAAATTAGCTTGGTTTCAATCATTGCCACATGGAATGAATGGTAATGAGATGTTTTTTTTTCGTTGTTTTTTTGCGATTTACTTCGATGAAATGCATGGGTTTTAAAATATTGGTATGATCTGGCAGCGACCAATATCATTATATGGCGGACTCATTTATGGTTCTGTTTAGCCAAGTCGATGATAAACCAAAATTATTTTCTTGGGAAGTTTTACCCAGGATACAAGTCGCTCTTATGAATATATTCCCGCGTTAGCGGTATTTGCCAGGGGTAATCAACTCGTTCCGGACAATGATAATCAGAAAGTGTGACGAGTTCAAGGGCGTACATCACTTCAGCTTATCGATTCCTGAGATTACCCCAAACTTAATTTTGATCACAACTCAAAAGAAATCGATAACTGATACTTTAATTATTCTACGAGTTTCCAGTTAGTATATTCATCTGAATCACTACTTACCAATTAGTCCCTCAAAGCTAATTGTATTTGCAAGATTTTCTAATTACTGCGTTGACTGCGTGACACAAACTACCAGTCGATGGTGGCGCAGCCCCCACGGCATCATCATGATGGGTAGATATTTATTAAGTTAATAATTGCGTTTGTGACTTAGGCTTGATATGGTCTCATCCAGCACTGTCTGATGAATGGTCAGACCAAAAAAAGAGTTTGTTTGTTTTTCTCTCCATACCAACCTACCTCATTGTACCCTAGGCAAATTAAGCTGTTGGAATAATTTTAATTTTATTTAAGTCGACAACTTTCTTAATTACAGACGTAATAGACATTTATTAGCATTATAGTCAAAATTGTGATAGTATAGAAAAAAGGAAAATCACCCATCTCTAGGTTTTTGAGCCAATCTATTTTCAGTTCAGAAAACCCATTCGCATTAATATTAATTCAACGAAATTTCCAATATAATTCTGATTACTATTCACCGATTTAATTAAAACACGCGCAGTTCTAGTATCAAGATATATCAATATGAAGACTATTGTAGTCATGGACAATTGACTAGTAAGAAACCGTATTTTGTTGAATTATTGGTCGAAATTAATAATTATAAATACACATACATAATTTATACATATATATGTAACACAATGATTGTATTTGCTGACGCGCTCGAGCTCTGTATTAACCTTGAGTTTATTTAATACCTGAATAAATATTACAATTATATATTATTGGATTATTGTAAATCAGATGAGTTTAGCGATTCGCGATAATAGCGTCTTAAATCATGGTTTCCGATATTCCGTTTGTCTGTAGAGATCTGTAGAAATCTAAAATGA